TCGGCCGCGGCGGTTTCGGCGGCGGCGGCGGCGGCGGCCACGCGCAGCTCGGAGGAAGAGGAGGAGCGGCTGGAGCGCGAGCACTTCTGGAAGATCATCAATGCCTTCCGCTACTACGGGTGAGCAGCCCGCCCGCCCCGCACCCGCGCGGGAGCGCCTCGCCCCGGGAGCTCTGGGCTGGGCGGGGGGTGATCGAAGTAGGGTTCCAACTTTGAGACCCGCGCTTAGGAATAACAACAGCAGCAGCAGTAATAGTCCCGAGGAAGCAGCGCCCTCGGCTTTTGTGATCGGTGTCTTCCAGACTGAAGCCACGGGGAGAGCTCAAGTTCACCCCGCACGTGGGGCTCCGTGGGGCCGCCCCCCTCCTCCTCCCCCGGGTCTGAGGCCAGCTGTCAGGACAGATGGACACACGCACACACGCACGCACGCACGCACGCACCGGGGCTGGGAACAGACTTGCAACTTCGGGGGTGAGCGCTGGCGCGGCGCCCCTAGTCGTGGAGAGGTTGGGGACCCCCGCGGCGTCCCCACATCCGCCAGCTGTTGAGGGAGGTGCGAGGGAGCAGGTGGATGGAGAGATCGTGCGTTCATATTCTGCATCGATAGAGGTATACACACACACGCCCTTTATTCACACTCACACAGCTTCCTCCACTTTCGTGTCTCCCGGTGGCTAATGACCGTTCCAAGACCTTGGAAAGTCCACCGAGTTTTCAGCTGAAGATCACACACTTACGTAAGGCTTGTGAGAGTCACCTCAGTCCCAACCTGCAGCCAGAACCCGCGAGAAAGAACCTCCTGGGCAGTTAAAAGGCGCCTTAGACCGGGCCTTCCGGGCCCCAAGCTAACTTGGAAGAACGCTGTTCATCTCCTCTATGCTGTGGTTGTTGTCATCTATAGAATCTGTTGCTCTGCTGTGACCTCTTCAAGGGCAGAAACGAGCCTTATTTAGTTTTGTGTCACCAGGGCTGGGCAGACATTGTTGGAGGGTCTGTGTGTAACAAAACCCTGATAGAGAATGCCCTCCCGAATTGTCAATTTGGGGGCAAATGGTTAAACTCGCTTGTTACTTGTCACTTAATGTAGGTTTAAAAGTTCAGGATTTCGTTACACTTGTGAAGGAGCAGTGTGCGGCCTTCCCAGCTGTACCCTAGCTCGTGTCAGGAAACAAATGCAGTGAAGTGCAGAGATCTTGCTGAAATAATTCATTATTCATTACATCTTGAAGTAGGACCATGGGGGCTGGATTAATTCCAGTGTCCAAAAAAAAAAAAAAAAGGATGAGCAATTTGGACCAAAGGAGAAAGGCAAAAAGAGGAGAAAATCGAATTGGATACAAGAATTGTGCCTGGAAAAACCAGGCAGTGAAATAAAGAACTGAATGTCAAGTGCAGGAAAATCTAGAAAGAACTTGAGAATATAGTAGTCCTATTACTTAACTGTACCCAGTTTTAATCTATTAGGACCAATTTAAAGTTGCTATTATTAGGCATTGGATAGGTTTTGTGCTGGGTGAGAGAAATGTGCTGGGTACATGCACTAGTAGTGTGACACTGTTTCCTATACTCATCTCTACCAGCCTACTATGGGATCAAGCAAGTTTTCATTTGCTTAAACAACAACAAAAAACCCAGTCCTTTATATTTTATGTAGTCACTGGATGAAACACTTCAGATCCCTGGATAGAAAATAGTATACCATCAAAAATATGCTTTCGAAACATGCATGCATTGTTTAAAAAGAAATGCACTCTTTACCTGACTTATGTAACCGTAATACCTCTGTACATCACTTTTGTAGTAACAATAAAAAACTGGGAAAAAAAAGAAATGCATGCAATTAAATTAGAAGTAAAGGGCATGAAAAGCATTGCATAGCAGAGACACTGCATTGCTACATTTCTTCAGGATTGTCCACAAATCACCTGGATAAATTTAAAATTTAAAGTTCTGTTGCCCAGCCTCAACTAGCCATGCATTTCAAATGTCCAATAGCCTCATATAGTTAGTGTGTGCATGAATCTTTCTTTTTACCCTGATACTGAGATTTGAACTCAGGGCCTCTAACCCTCCCTTAAAAAGCCCAAGGCCGGTGCTCTACTATGTAAGAAAGCTGTACCTCCACTTCCAGCTTCTTGCTGGTTACTTGTAGATGAGTCTCTAGTGTTTTCCTGCCTGGGTTGGCTTCCAGCCAGAGTTTTCAGATCTCAGACTCTGGAGTAGTTAGGATTACCCGTGTGAGCTGCCTGTGCTGTGCAGGAATCCTCACTCATCATTCGAGTAAGTTGTAATGGCTAACCATGTTCTAGATCTATAACCAGTAATTCGGTGTTTGAGACTTTGGTTTTACTGCTAAATGTCTTTTAGTGAAAAATAGAATATTTAGATTAAAAGCCATAGGGTAATAAATACCATTTGACTCATGAATGTGGTCTCCATTTACTTTAGAATCTAAGAGTCTGGTAAAACATTCCTTTCAAACAGATAGGAAAAGTTGCCTAAAAAGACCAGGCAATAAATGTGTTAAGCTCTGAGGGCCAGGTCAGGCCTTTACAACTGTACAACTCTGCAGACATAGCATTATGTAAACAAATAAATAAGTTTGTGTTCCATAAAGAAGCTACTTAAAACCAGTGGGCTGTAGTACAGCATTTCTTGGCTGGGAAAGTTATTTGCATTATAGTAAGCATAGTAAAAATCAGATTATATTCTCAAGTTTGGTAAAATGCCACCATTTTTGTTTGTTTGTGATGCCAGGGATTGCATCCCGAACACATAAACATACGCTCCAAAACCCCCTGAGCTATTTTCAGATGCCACCTATTTTAGGAATACTCCTGGGTGTGTGCCTCAGCAGCTTTCCACTTAAAGATCATGCTGCATTCCATCCTGCTCTTTAGAGTTACTTCACTTCTGTACCAACATTGGTTGGCATAACACCTTCCCTGCAGTGATGGGAGAAAGTAGTCTAAATGGAGAACCAGAAGAGGCAACTTGAGAGTATATGTGGTCATTTTTTATGATGTCTCACATATGTTGGTACATAGAGATTTAGTAGTGACAAAGACTTATTCAAGGAAGAATTCATTTGATTGGAAATGATGGTAGGCAGGATGGGAGAATTAGGCTAGGCATGCATCTGGGAACTGTTTTCCTAAGTAGTAGCAGGCCTCCTTTGGGAAACACTAGAGGTCCTCTTAGAGGACCTTAGGTAGAGTAATTTTGAGGTAACTCAGAACTTTCCTGCCCTGGCTGGCTTTGAATCTTGATCCTCAGATTCCCTGAGTACCTAGGATTATAGGCATGAGCTGCTGGTGCCCTGCTTATTTAACATTTGACTGTGAATTTTTAATTATTTCAATTCCACAGATTGCCTGACTTATTAAAACTTTAAATAGGAATATTGACCCAAACAGTCTTTCTGAAAATCATTTTGTATCAGACCTTACAAAAATAGCTATCCTTCAGATCTTGTAATTCTACTTTTGGAAATTTCTGCTAGTTTTCTTCAAAATAGTCCTCAGCCATTTTTTGTTGCTATAACTTGAGTATATTTATAAGGAAAAAAAAACATTTGGTTTTAGATATTGAATGCTGGGAAATTTAAGGCCATTTGGACATACCTGTCATCCTTGCTGGCGGGAGTCTACAGAGTCAGAGGAAGTGTGGGATTTCATGTGGTGGGAGGGGCTAAGCATGCTAGCACCTCTCCTTGTGAGCCCACAGCCTCATGGGACTAGGAACTAATCAACATAATTACCTCCCCCGGATCCTCCTACTTTTAAATATCAAGCCTAGGTTAAGTTTCCACCTTCTGTATATATCATAGTGAATATTAAATGCTAACAAGAGTTACACCATAGTAAATTTGAACACAAAAAGTTCATCATAATGACTAGTAAAACTTGAGAACTTTTTTCCAGTCTGAGAAAGTTCTTCTACTAAAGATGAATTATTAGGCCAGGACCAATGGCTTATTCCTGTAATCCTACCTACTCAGTAGTCTGAGATGAGGATCATGGTTTAAAGCCAGCCAGGCAGGAAAGTCCCCGGAGAGTCTTACCTACGATTAGCTGCCAGAAAACCAGCAGCTCTGTGGCTGAAAGTGGTAGAACACTAGCCTTGAGTGAAAAAGCTCAGGGACAGTGCCCAGGCCTTGAGTTCAAGTTCCATGAATGACAAATGATAACAATAATAATTCTTTTGATAAGTATGAAATCACATTTGTTTCTCAAACTTTGATTGTTGCATAAGATGGAATACTACATAGCCATAATAGTCATAGTGTATTAAAAGAGCCCTTTTTCAATCTGGAAACTGCTTTTCAGCTTTTGATGGCCTATCAGTAACCTGTGGATTTTGGCCCCAAAGGAGATTCCCATAGACGTGCTCTACCACATTTTAAGTAGAAAAGTGCGAGACGAAGTAAGGTAGCACAGAAGTAGTCCGCGTTCTCACTTTTGTTTTAAACACAGGATCTAAAACCATTTAGGAGAATGGAGAGTAGGAGGACGGTTACCACAGACAGTGAGGCCAGGAAGGGTAGGCAAGATGTGCCTGGAGAGATGGAGAAGCAGTCCTTTGTCACTTTTTCAGAAGGAGTAAACGATGAGTGTAGGATGAGTATGTGAGATGACTTATATGTTAGTTAGCTTGATTTAATCCAGTTTGTACGTACATAACATCACTTTGTACTCTACATGCATGTAAGGAGATTTTTGTCAGGGTGCTAGATGACTTTGTCTTAACACAAAATATGCAGAAATGTCAGCTGTAGTTTTTTTCTGCAAGAGCCTTAACAACCTCTTTCCCTGGGTATTTTCACTTTTCTGCATTTTTCCGATTTGGATTTTAACTGTGAACATATTTCATAGAGATGCCTTTTATTTTTTGAGTGCTTACTATATTAGCCACAGGGCTAGGTATTACATGCCTTCTGATTTCAGTGCAGCTGTGGGTGGACTGAAGTATAATGGTACCTACTATAATCACTTTATCACTACATTTTATATAAGACAATTGACTGTGACATAGCAAATAGGTGGTATAACCTGGGTTTCAGTACAGATTATGGCCAAGGAAAATAAAGGACTTATTAATGAAGCTACTGAAAACATGATCACCTCACTTTCCCCGTAAAGTCTCTCCTACTAAACATCCAAGATACTATTTTACACACGTGATCATGGTTTGCCTAAGTTTTTATTACTGTTCAGTAATGGGAGATTAATTTGATAAGAGAAGTTAAAGAATTGTTTGGGTGAATAGAGAAAAAGATGTAGCCACTCAAGTGAACAAAAGTATTTTTCATTTTCATTTATTATGGAGTAAGTGCCCAAGAACAGGAATACATAGATTTGTATATTTAAAATATAAGGAGTTGCAACAATGAATGTCTATGAATCTACCACGCAGTTTTTGTTTGAAAACAGCAACAACAACAAAAAGCTGGGCACTGTAAAACTCACACCTGTAATCGTAGCTACTCAGGCTGAGATCTGAGAATCCCAGTTCAAAGCTAGCCCAGGCAGGAAAATAGGTTAGAGTCTTAACCAGCAAAAACCCGGGAGTAAATCTGTGGCTCCAGTGATAAAGCGCCAGCCTTGAGCAAAAAAAAAAAGCCAAGGGAAAGTACCCAGCCTTGAGTTCAAACCCAGTACAAAAAGAAAAAGGTCTATCCTAACTCTTTGCCTCTCATACAAAAGCATGTCTCAGAATTTGCATTTTCTTGTTGTTCTACCACATCAGCTATGTCCCTGAACAATATAAACATCATGTGTTCTTCACACTGCTGATTTCAACAAGTATTTATGTTGCTGATTTATCCATGTAATTGTAGCTGTACTTTTCACTACATTCTAGTATATAACTATACTGAAAATTTCAGTCTATTGATGATGGATAGACCTGTCAATCCCAGGTTTGCTGTTGTTTATTTCAAACATTACTACAGTGAAGATTGTTCATGTTTTCATTGTACTGGTACCCATTTTTTTTTTTTTTTTAATAAATCCAAGGCCTTGTGTTTTCTAGGCAACTGCTGACACTTGAGCCATTCCCCAGGTCTTTATGCTCCAGTCAGTTTTGCTCTCAGGGTCTTAAGATTTTTGTCTGGATATGCCTCAGACTCGAGTCTTCCTACCTCTGCACCTCTGCCTCCCAAGTACCAAGAGGTGTGCACTACCATACCTAGCACTAATAGGAAGTCTTGAAGAGTCCTCGATGTACATGTAGAGTTGTTAGGTCATTGGGCCCATAGTGTATGAAGCTTTAGTGGATAATGTGAAATTATTTTCCAAAGTTAATGTACTAACTTGTAAATACGCCATTAGTTTATGTCTCTGGTTCCACATTGCATCAATGTTGATCTAGTCAGGCTTCACAATTTTCCAGGCTCCAGTGGCTCACTCCGGTAATCTGTCTATCTCAGAAGGCTGAGTTCTGATCAAGGGGCAAAGCCTGATCCAGGCAGGAAAGTTCTTGAGACTCTTACTCTAGTTAACAACCAGAAAGCTGGAAGTAGAGCTGTGGCTCAAGTGGCAGAGAGCTAGCCATGAGCACAAAAGCTTAGGGACAGTGCACATGCCCAGAGGAGTTCAAGCCCTAGGACTGGCACACAGAAAAATTGTCCATATGGTTGAAGTAAAAATGACACAATTGCGAATGTTCATTTAACGTGTTTTTGTTGTTGTTGTTGTTCTTGGTTGTGGGGCTTGAACTCAGAGGGTGGGCATTGACCCTGAGCCTCTTTGTGCTAGTGCTCTACCACTTGAGCCACAGTGCCAATCCTGGTTTTTGAGTAGTTAATTGGAGGTAAGAGTCTCATAGGAACTTTTCTGTCCACCCTGGCTTCATACTGCTATCCTCAGATCTCAGCCTCCTGAGGGGCTAGGCGTGAGCCACCAGTACCTGGCTACATTTAACTTTTGAAATGATGTTTTCTTTTGTGGTTTTTATAAGTAAATAGTCCTCAATCTACCATTGAAGTTACTTGTAAAATTTTAGAATACAATTTGTGGATATCAACATGAAATCTTACAGAATTTTAGGATACTTTTGTAGTCTGTAAGATCTTTTTCATTCCTCAAAATTCAACTTGGTTGGCCTTTTGTTAGTTTTGTGTTTATTTTAAATTATAACATGTTTTTTGTTGATGTTTTCATGCTTCTGGGATTAAACTCAGGTCCCTCATTCATGCTAGACAAGTATTCTACCTTTGAGCTATCCGCAGTCTGTTGTAAATTTCTACAGGAGCATTTTGCTGATTTAATTTATGGTGAAGAAATCCAAGACATTTAACTAGTTGTGCTGATATTAAAATCTGAAAATAAAAATTACACATTAATCTTGTCTCTGTTGATAATGCTTCACTTTATGAAATATACCATAAAGGAAATGGTATATTTTCTCTTTTTCCTTTCTAATTAGTACAGATGTCAGATTTTACTAGTTATAAGCCATCATTTGCTTCACTGCTCTGAGATGGATTTGTAATAAAATAAAACATACAGACTCTCTAAGTTGTTATTCGGAAGCAAAAAGATTGTGAATGAAAGACAGTATCCAACTTGTAAGGGAGTAGTTATATAAGGAGACAATCTTAAAATGAGGTTGTCCTCTGATGAGAATTCTTTTGCAATTTAAAAACACCTTTTATGTTTTAGCACCAGTATGCATGAGCGAGTGAACCGAACAGAAAGACAGTTTCGATCACTGCCAGATAATCAACAGAAACTACTTCCTCAGTTTCCTCTTCACTTGGACAAGATCCGGAAATGCATTGATCATAATCAAGAAATACTACTGACCATTGTGAATGATTGCATACATATGTTTGAAAATAAAGAATATGGAGAAGATGTATGTGAAAATTTGTTCTATTTGTTTTAATTTTAGGGTTAGTTTTTATATTATGAGGTCTTTATCTTTCTGAATTTTAGCTTTATAGCCGTGCACAGGTCGTTTACTGCACTGAGAATGTTTTCACTTGTGTGTTCTGTCATCCGATGAGGCTATAAGAACAGTGTGGCAGAGAAGCTGGTGTTGCTCACTGATTTTTTTTGTTTTTCTTAATACTAAGATAATTGTAATCAACATTTTGACATTGTGTTTTAAATGTTCTAGTATGTAGGATTAGTGATTTCATTTTTATAAAAGCATTCACTAGCTATGACAAATTTCCCATGGTAAAGTCATGTTTTTCAGCATCTTGTATCAGTGGGTAATTTGTACTTTAAGAAATTATTTTTAAGTTAAACCTCAAGAGACTGACAGTCATGGAAACTGAAGTCCTCTTGCACCCAGTTGGCCCTCCCCAGCCTTTCCGTGGTGCCCCATCAAGTGACCTGAAGGGACCTTCTTCCTCTCTTAGAGAGGATAAAGTGTTTGGTCTCCATAGCAGCTCAGTTCTGATTCTCCTCTTGAGTAAAGACTGCTTAATTATGTGGAGGTTTTATGATTAATGAACCTTTTAATCTATGGAGGGTAGAAGTGAAACTACCAAGTTACCCATTCAGTATGCACTGGGGCCCCATCGAGGTGAAGGCTAGTCTTTTTTCTGCCAAACCACCTATGTAACCCCTTAGGAGCATGTTCACGGGAGCATATGCAAAACTGATTTCTCTGAAGCTAATTGCTTTCTGTCTTTTACACAGGGGAATGGAAAGATTATGCCAGCATCTACCTTTGACATGGATAAGTTAAAATCCACATTGAAACAGTTTGTCAGAGACTGGAGTGAAACTGGGAAAGCAGAGAGGGATGCCTGCTACCAACCAATTATTAAAGAAATTTTAAAAAATTTTCCCAAAGAGACATGGTAAATAGTACCTTGTTTTAAGCCACTTTCCATAAGATGTGTAAGCACTTTGTTTCTTTATACAACATTTCACAATCTTGATTCATTTTTGTAGTTGCTCTGTGCCTGCATGTTTTGCATGTGTGAGTGTTACATTTGTTTTTGGATACTTCGTGTAAAGTTACAGTTCATATCATAGTAGTAATTTTCATGCTGATAATTTGTCAGAAATTAGGAATTAAGTAATAAGCAGTTAAAATGAATATTAGTGATGGTGCATCTTTTTATCATTTGCATTGTAGCAAGACAAAAAGCTGTAAAGTTTTCATTTGTCGCAGTACTGTATACTTGTAAGCAAATGAGGGGTTTATAGCTCAAGAAAAGTTCTTAACTTTTTTTGTGACATTAAGTCTGGGCAGTCTGAAGCCCATGTTCTGTTTTTCAGAATCTACAAATACAATAAAAATACCTACAAATATAGTAAAAATATAATAAAATGTCATTTGAAAAACTATTTTGAAATGAACTTACACAAAATAGTTGAAGAATAAATTTGTGATATACTTTTTACAGTGTATTATATGAAATACAGTGTAGCAGCAAGTGTAGTTATAAAAATACTTGATGATATATATATTAAGACTATCAGCAGTTGATAGTGTCAGACTGAAATGAAAGTATTGCGCTTTTTTTTGTTAGCAATAAAGTCACAGATATTGTTAAAACTGTTCATTTCTTGCCGACATTGCTAATTGAAGATAGTATCAGTTAAAGATTAGTGAATTTTAAGTAGAGTTTTTTTCTTCATTCCCTTCATAGGCCCATTAGATTTTATCCACAAAACTTTGGAGATCTGCCAGTCCCAGATTTGTAACCCCTGTATTCTTCCAGAAATGTCAATGAATGTGTGTCTCTTTAAAAAAAAAAAAAGAAAAAATACTTTATTTTGAAATATTTTAAAATTATACCAGTTTCATGAAATGTATAGATTTCCCATAAACACTTAATTCATTTATAGCATTTTGTCACATTTTTATTTGTGTTTTCTCCTCCCTTTCCCTGCTTTGTATGTGTCTGAAAATATGTACCTATCAGCAAACAATGTTACTTAAACTATTTGTATTCGTCATACTTATATTTTAAAAAATATATTTGATTGTTATTGTAGAGGTGATGTGATGTACAGAGGGGTTACAATACATAAATCAGGTAATGAGTACATTTCTTTTTCATTACACTATTTTTTTTTAATCGGTCATTTTTCTTTTTTTAATCTGGTTTGGGGCTTGACCTCTGGGCCTGGGTGCTGTCCCGGAGCTCTTCAGCTCAAGGCTAGTGCTCTACCACTTGAGCCACAGCATCACTTTCAGTTTTCTGGTGGTTAATTGGAGATCAGAGTCTCATGGACTTTCCTTCCCCGAGATGGCTTTGAGCCCCGATCCTCAGATCTCAGCCTCCTGAGTAGGATTACAGGCGTGAGCCACTGGCACCTGGCTCATCACACTATTTTTAATCCGTAATCCTTAATGGTTTATTCACAAGAAAAAGGATATTCTCTTGTAGTTTTCAAATTCTGAAAATTCTACCTTAATTGCTGGTATGGAATCTAATCATGTATGTTCAGATTTCATAAATTGTCCTGTAATGTCCTTTATAGCACTTACTTTTCCATCCGGTGTGGCATTTAATTGCCAATGTCTCAATCTTTAATCTAGAACAGTTCCTTCTTTTTATTGTTGGCACCATTTTTTTTTCATGGTTATTGTTGGCACCATTTTTTTTTTCATGGTTCTAGGTTTTGAACTCAGGGCCTTACTCTTACCAGGCCCATGTTTACTGCTAAGCCACAATGCCAACGCTGTGGGGCACTGCTGATTGTCCTCCCATGTGCCTGGACCTCAGTTTCATAGGCTTCTCATTGGTGAGATCGCAAGCATTCACCGCCATGCCAGCTTCTTTTTGTTGAGATGGAATCTTGTGGACTTTTCTCCCTGGGCTTGCCCGGAACCACCAACCTTTAAATCTCAGGCACACATGTAGCCGGGTTGAGCGTGCGGCTGAGCTGTGAACCAGTTAAGAAGGGTCTTGTAAACTCTGCTGAGGCTGGCGTTCTGAACCCCATCCATCCAAGTAGCTGAGATCATTCATAGACGTGAGCTACTGGTACCCAGCTTCATTATACTAAAAAAAAAAATGTTAGTGATACTCCTTTATCCTTTCTGTACTTTTTTTTTTTAAGGGAGAGATCTTTGCTGCGCTCACCTTGTATATTGCCACTTCAGTTCAGATGTTGGCCGTTCCACCAAAAATCTAGTCCATTTCATGTGGAATTGTATATAGAAACCGAAATCAGACACTACATCTGTCTTCTGAGATGTCATTTCTTCCAGGTCTTTCAACAGACTTAGCTGTCTCCATACACACCCACAAATCATGGCATTCATGCAGGTCACTAATGCCATTCCTAACTTGTAGGTTTCCTCCTTGATATCTGCTTTTCTTCTGTATCTCTTTACTGTTTCCTCCTGTAAGAACTTTAGCTTTCAATAACGCTAGTACATGGACTTATTTATGACAGTATATATACCAAATGGTTTGATAAATGCTACATTTACTATTAAAAGTAACCCAGTAAAAGAAGTTCAGGATTTACTAGCTCCCAGATGAAGGGAAGGTGATAAAGAACTTTTTCGTAATATACTCCGATTAGCCCTCATAGTCTGTAGTCCATTATGTTTTTAAATTGAGCTTTAGCATATTTAGGTTTGTTCTGTTTGCTTTAGTTTTAGGGGCTGTGCTTTGCTTTCTCATCCTTAGAGACTTTTTCATTTCATAGACTATCTACTAGACAAAAGTAGACCAAAAAGTGATTCTCAGTCACTCCCTCCCTTTTTCCTTCCATATTCTGTCTTGTTATTTCATTTCACACTCTTATTTGGTCACATCATCTGTTTCTCTTCCTCACCCCCAATAAGCACACAATTTAAAATAATTTATTCCCTTTTATAATGTGCTGTATATTTACTCTTTTTTTTCTCAGTTAATATATCCTAGAAATAGTTAAATCCTGGTTCAGGGGAGAGCTTTCTCAGTCTAGTTTGACAGTTGGACCATAATCTTCTATCTATAGTTGGACTGTAGTTTATTTAAGTAATCTGCTACATTTGGCTGTTTAGATAATTGGCAGTATCTTGCAGTTACAAATAATACTCCAATTAATTATGTGTTTGTATTTTTATATTGCTAAATCCAAAAGGTAAATACCTTGGTTACTGCATTGGTTATTGATGGTTGTGAAACAGATGACCACAAATGTAACTGCCTCAAATAGCATGCTCACAGTGTGTGTGCATCAGATCCTGGCTGTGGCTTAACTGGGTCCCCTGTATTGGGTTATACAAGGCTGTAGTCCAAGTGCCTGCTGGGCTCTGCTCACTTGGAGGTTTGACAAGGGACCATCTGCTTCTAGAGTCACTCATTGTTCCTTTGGTTTGGGATTAAAGACCTTGGCATCTTAGCAGGAAGCCTCCCTTCTCTCCTAGAGGCGTTCTTGTGTGTTTTCCCCAATTGTCCATGTTCCTCCTCAAGTCAGCAATTAGAGTCTCAGCTAAAGCAGGGCCTCTGACTCTCTGCCATTAGCACTTCTCATATTTCATCACCTTTGCCATATTCTGTTGATTTGAAACAGATCCCAAGTCCAAGTACACCCAGAGCAAGGGGAAATTAAAGACAAGGACAGCAGGAGGTGGTGCTACCGGAAGAGCCAGCGTAGTGTCTATCTGCCACAGTGATTGGCTGCATTTTCTTATAAAGCTTGTCCTGAGTGCCCATTTGATCAGCAGTATCTGGAAGGATGTGTTTACTAATTGCCCTATCAAGCACTGTGTCGTTAATCTTTGAGCATTTGCCAATCTGATGGCTGTGAAACTGTCTTGGCAGAGTTACTATTTTGTTTGTTGTTTTGACTTGTTTCTGGCCAGTGGTGGGTCTTGACCTCCAGACTGTGGTGCTATCCCTAAGCTTTTTTTGCTCAAGGCTAGCACTGTATTACTTGAGCCACACACAGCTCCACTTCCTGCTCTTTGGTGGCCAATTGGAGATTACACACTTTCCTGCCTAGGCTAGCTTCAAACTTAGATCCTCAGATCTCAGCCTCCTGAGTAGCTAGAATTATAAACCTGAGCCACTGACCTGGCTGTGTTGGCAATTTTAATTTACATTTATTTTAACATGAGTGAGCTTGAACATCTTCTGTGTTGAAGGGCTGTTTTTCTTTTGTAGTTCTGGGGATTCACCCTGGTGCTAAATCACGTCCCGAGTCCTTTGGTTTGTATTTCTGTTTTTCAGATAGTGTCTCCCTAACTTTGCCTGGGCTGGCCGAAAGCAGGTGATCCACCTGCCTTGCCTCCTGGGTAGCTGGGGGTGAGGGCTTGTTGCACACGGCTCTTTCATGTTGAGCGTTCTGTACTCATGGTTTTTCTTATTGAATTGAGGCATAAATGTTGTTAAGAGTTAGCTTTTAAAGTTGTTGGGGGCGGCAGCGTCTCAGCTGGGGAACATGTAGGGAAACACTGGACCTCGGGTACATTCACAGTGTTTTGTGTTTACCACCCTGTAGAGTTCCAGAGTATTATCACCACCCCACCCCCAATAAAACCCTGTGTCTATTAAGCAGTCTTCCCCATTTTCCCCAGTTGGCCCCCCTACCTTTGTTTCTCAGCAGTTGGACTTTGAGGTGACTTAGATATGGTTTTCTTCGTATTTAATTCGGCATGGAGAAAAGAAAATAATACTTTGCCAGGAACATGAACTCAGAAATTCTTTGGTTAACCAGCACTTGGAAGGCTGCGGCATGATGATAAGTTCAAGGGCAACCCGGGCTGCATAGCAAGGCCCCGTCTCACCAAAGCAAAACAAAATCTCCGGGGTTTTTGTGGTTCTTTGGAATCCAGGTTGGTTCTGGGTAAATCTGGCTTTTTCAATTTCTAGAATCCTGCTTGTTTGAATTCAATGTGATCTAT